TTAATCGACGTTTGAACAGTTTTCTCTTAAAAGATTGCTTTAAGATCCGTGACATGCTTTAGGATTCATTCCTGCATATGAGATTTTGTTGATAGCGTATCAAATATTAAAAAAAAAACTAATTAAATAAATAGCCCTTTTTGGCAAAAGCATATATTTTAAAATAAAATGTTAAATGAAAATGCCTTTACCATCGGCACATATTTATTATTATTTTAAAAGTTCCTAATTCCTATCATTAATAACCTCATTTCATGTGCTCCTTTGTATAATTTGGGTCATCCGAACATTAAAATAATAAACTCACCAATAATTTTTTAGGGAAAGTTCAGTCTTAATAATAATTTAATTAATAATTAATAATTAGAATGTTCGAACTTAATTCTTTTAATTTGAGAGAAAGTCTCCCTTCCTACTTTCCAAAGACTTTGCATGACTCACCAATAATTATATAATACAAAAATATGATTGATATAAAATTAATTTTTTTAGAACTAACCTCACATCTCTTAAATTTATTTAATAATTAGTTTGCTACAAATTATTTATAAATTATGTACATTTGAATGTTTAACGAGCACAATGTCAAATCAATCCCTTTGACTATTTATATGGGACCGATTTAATTTCATAATTTATGAAAGTGTTAAATTGATCCCTCCACTAATTAAAATTAGAGCTCTGATAGTAGAGTAGATATTGTGTGCACCGGGTGCATGTGTGCATCATGATATTCGGGTGATATTTGAGTTATATTGCACCTCCCAATACCACCAACTAGGGGTGTAAACGAGTCCAACACGAGTGAGCCCAAACTCAGCTCGTGTTCGGCTCCTTTATATTTCGAGCTCAAAAAGTGTATTCGATTCGTGTACGACACGTTTGCTTAGCGAGCCGAACACGAGCTGTTCACGAACGACACGTTTGTTTAGCGAGCCGAACACGAGCTGTTCACGAATAAAGAGTCGTTTTGACAATCCTAATCAAACAATCATAAGAAGTTAAGGGTTGGGACAATATTTAAAAACAATTGTTTATTTAAAACATCATTTGTATTCTATTTTCTTAATTAATACTATTAATTGATTATAAATTTTTGTAGCTTTGTAGTCAATTACATTATTTAAAAATACTACCCATCAATATATATATATATATATATCTCTCTTTGTGCGCGCGCACACAAGCCTTGGTCCGTTGTGTGGTGGGGTCACTATAAGTCCCATCAGGTCATGGGTTCGATCCACCGTGTCATGGGGTTTGCGAATAGTTAGCACATGACGCGGGCTCTAATCATGAGGTCAAAAAGCGCATGAAAAATTGATATTTGGGTCTCTACCAAATATTAATTTTATTTTTAGAATATATATATATATATATAAGATTGATGAGTAATATTTTGATCCAAAGCAAGCGAAACACGAATTAAAAAATTTTTGTTTGATTTCGGGTCGATAACTTAACAATGATCTGAACACGAGCTTCTACGGCGCTACCACCAACACCACAACAACGTCATTACCGTAATTTTTCTAAACCCTAAACACGAATTAAAAGGTTTTTGTTTTGAGTTCGGTTCGATAACTTAAGAATGATCTGAACACGAGCTTCTACGGCGCTAACACCAACACCACAACAACGTCATTACCGTAATTTTTATCTAATTTAGACATATTTTAACCGCATCGTAATGTTCTTCCGATTCTCTAACGGGCGTCCACTACCTCTCACGCCACGTACCTTACGCTCCCAGTTTTGAAAACTTCCAACCTCGACTATGCGGATCCTCTCCAATCTAATACGATTAACTAGACATAATGATCGCCAGCTCATCTCATTCGTTCATTTAAGTGTGCACGGTGCAGATCAGATCAACCAAAATAGACGCTTCATATTTAGAATCCATCCAACGGCTCGAAGCGTAATAAACGGACTAGATGATAGCTATAAATCTTATTTCGGAAATAGTTGTTGTATAGGATTCAATTCAACGGCGTCCCATAACCGACTCCTATTTATTTCCAACTCATTGGAATCAATTCTCATCTTCGTTTTCGGTTCTTATCTTCTCCTCATTCCTGCTTGAACCCTATATCCATCTCATTTTCCTCCCGATCTTCTTTCTCGCTCTCTAATGGGCTAAGAATTTCCAGTCGATCGCTAAGAGGAATTCGTTCCTTTCTGCAAATTCTTTTTCCGTTGATTTTTTTCGCGGATCATCGATCATGCCTTCGATGTTCTGCGATTTCTTTCTCGCCATTGTTATCCGTACTTTAAATTCTGGTTTATGTTCCCATCGTCTGAAGAAGATCGAGAAATGGAAATGCCTTTGGAGTAGTTTTCGCTAAAATTGGGAGGCCCGTTTTGTTTATACGTTGATCTTGTCCTTTTCTTTATCATCGGATTCTTCTAGTTCTTAACCGTCTTTAATATCGCTTTCTATCTCCTTGCGTTTTTTTTTTTTTGACTGGATCTGTTTTCGGAGATTTTAGATCCGGGGGAGAGATTATTCTGGCTGTAGGTTTTGGGTTGGGTGCTTAGAAATTCGGCTTGATTTTTTTCAACAGCTTGTGGAGTTGGAAACATAATTGATTGACAGGTAAAAGTGTTTTTTATATCACTGATTAGTTTTGTATTCTCTTCGCTGTTGGTATTATTTTTATGATGGGGCAATTACAAAAAGCTACCCGAAACTTGCTATTTAGAAATCAACCACCCTCTTTAAACCATTTTTCAAATTTTCACTCAAATATCAAAATTTCTGGTAAAACTCCAACCCATATTTCTCATTTTTTTCAAATTCTCAATAGTTTGATGGTGGCATTTCAAAAAAATCACCTTGCTGCTTAATTTGTAAACATTAATGTTTCGGGTGATCTGAATTTAATTAGCCTATTTATGATTTAGAAATTTATGCATGTGATATTTCTTTGACCGAATTGTTTATTGCTGAGAAATTGTTGTTGTCAAATCTGATAATTCCAACCTCCATTCTTTAATTATGCACGTTTTGACTGTAATTTGTCAAATCTTCTCTTATTATCACGTTATCCCTAAATCTCATATTTGTAGCTCACCTTACCTTCTTTTGAATGGTTTTACATCTTTTATCTACTTGTTTCATAAATTAGACGAGTATGTGAAATGTTGATTTTTTAAAAATTATCTCTTTGCAGCTTTCATAACAGTTTATGCAAATGGGTGATATTGAACCATGTGATGAGTCAGCTTTCGAAGCTGTTGACCAAAAATCATGCAAAAATATTCTTTTCGAGGGAAATTTAATTGTTGCAGAAGATCATTTTAACTGTAGCAATAAAGAAATTGTTGAGTTGGATTTACTTATGGAAAAGCTTGAAATTTCTGATGAAGATGATCTGAATGATTTGCTGTTCGAAGAACATGAAACCGTGCATGTTAAAGAGACCATCTGCTCTTCAATTTCTAATAAGGAAACTTTGCAATTTTCTTCTCCTAAAACCTCCAAGTTTAACGATTTGGGTAAATGTGCGCCAATTCTGTGCTCTGAAGCTTTGGAATCATGCCCATCAATATGTGCAAGTGCGGAGTCATCAATTATCGAATTGGGTTCTGAAAGTTCTGTTGCTGTTAGCACTCCTGCAAAAGATAGTTTGATGCCTTATCATGTAAGTTCTGGCTATGTTATTATCATTGTTTAACCGTTATCATTCTTTTCAGCATCATCCTAACTTATTTCTGTTTCTGCGAAAGCATTGATTTCACTGGACTTTGCTGAGGTGTTATTTCATGTAATCTGATAATTTTTCGAGTTCTAGGATGTTACAGGCTTGCTTTCTTATATCGTCCCATCGTGTTGTTTTTATGAATTGAATGTAATGAGTGTAAAATACGCAAAGGCAGACTTTCATGCTTATATTATACTTCTCATTAGTATTACTTTCAGTGTTTATCTGCATAATTCATTTATTTCAATCAGTTACATATTTCTATATGACTTGGCCATTCATTGAATTATGTCGTTGCAGCAATACTTTTTTGGTATTTTGGACTCGACTTCTAGTATAATGGATATCAAGAGAATAATTCAGTGATTTGAACATATTAATGCAAGCAAGAAATTTTTAGATACCTATTAGTGCAGGTTAGAAACCCTTGTTGATGTGGAGGAGAAAGGAAAAGTTTTGCTCTCTTTACCATAAGCAAAGAAGGTGAGATATAGATTTTGAAGCTAATTGAGGAACAAGACGGACAGCTTATCTCCAACTGTCATTTGGTAAAATCTATTGATGTACTGAAACTTGATCTTCAAGATTAACTCCACCAAAGTGAAGGGAATCAAGGATTGATTAGTTCCTCATATAGTTATACAATACTATACCTTTAATTTCTCAAAAGATATCCAAAAAGAAGGAAGGCCCGTCTTCAAAAGGAATAATGGAGCATGAGATTTCACAAATGGAGAAATCTTAATGCACAAGGAGCCTAAAAAATTATCCTTCTGCCAATCCAAACAAGAAAAGGATATAATTAAGTTCCTCCAATTTTTTTACTCTTAAGAGTAGGATTCACAGAACCATGTCAAACCAAATAGTACACCCAAGATATGACTTTGGATATATTTTGGAGGGTTCTCAAGTTTTTAATGAAATTTTTTTTCTACTCTGAATAGGACAAGTTATGTTTTATGGAGGGTGTTGAAGGTGGTTATAATAGAATTGTCTTGCCAGCACTACGATGAATGAATGCGAGAACTTATAAAAATGGTGTTGGTTTATGAAGAAATTTGAACGATCATAATTAAGGGTCTGTAGGGTAACAAATTGGATTTAAGTTTGTAGAATATAGTAAATCCAGTAAATCTGGATTTATTACATGTTTCACCTTCATGGACAAACCCTTTTGATACAGTCGCAACTAGAGATAACTGAGAAAGCAAAGATAAGATTGACAGAGACCCAAAATTTTCATCTTTCTCGTCTTTCTGCTCTGCTCCTACCAGAAGGTAAGTTCACATCTTCCTTTCCGTGCAAATGCCCGTCCCGAATTTAGCCAATTCGTGGGATTTAGTAAATTTGGGATTTATGGCCGAAATCAGGATTTAACAAATCTGCGGCTTTATTTTGTCCAAAATGACTTTCTGGTATAAATGTGATTTTTATGATAGGTGTATGATAAAATTGGAGTTAACCAATGGTGAAACTGTTGTTCAACACACTGCATGAGAAGCTTAGTTTAGCAAAAGTTCGAAGAAAATAGAACTAAAAGGGCGCGACTTGAGAGGGTTTATATGAAAGGTTCGGAAAAAAGTTGCAGGCCAAAGCAATTTGGTAGAAAAGTTTGAGAAACAAAATTCAGCGCTAATAGTTGAAATAATGATTGATGATGATGATTATGATGAGTATTTCTGTCTTCTTGCTTTATCAAAGTATGAAGAACGCGACAGTATTCCTGAGGATTTGGTCTTAGCTGATGGGCTATGTGGCCTTCATGGCTTCATCGCGACTTAATAGCAGGTCTGCAAACAATTCCATGAATCTGTACGCTATTGTATGTAGCTACTTTCTTATCTGCATCTCGCTATTGCTTTGTCATTAATTTTTCTGGCGAGATTGTGTTTACAACCCACATTTTTGCTTACATGATTGCAACTCACTTATGCCTTTGATGGGTTTCTTTTATCGTTTGGGCTTGTGTACTTAACTTTTGTCATTGAAAAGTACCATTCTGGGAGAGTTTACTGTTTTGCTATAATAAAACTGACAAAGACTAAAAAGTTTTTAGTTACAGTATTGAATAATTTTAGGAAGGAATCTTTTTTTTACTGCTCATCATTGCCCCTAAATATGGTAGGGGCTTTAATTGTTAAAGGAACGAGTAATTCAAAAAGTTGCACTTCTAGGTAACACACTAACACTAGTTAATTTTCTTACCCAATTTCTTATTTTTTCTATTTTTTTTAATCTTGGTGCATGCAAGCACACCACATTTCTCATCTAGATTTATAAAATCTGTAGTTTGCTTATTGAGCTGTGACACAACTATAATTAATAATGACTGCTTCAAAAGTATCAAAATTATGCGATTCATTATTCATTTTGTAGGACTCCTCAAAATGTATGTCCGCCCTTAAAGGAAGCAGAGCACGGCAAGGGAAACCTCTGGAACCAAATCTGCATGTTACATGGGCAGCAGATGTCTATGATCCACCAGTTACTTCATCGTCCCACACGGTGAAGGGACATCGCCATCGTCTTCCAAAGGCCAAGACATCGGATCATCAGAAGCACAAGCACAAGCACATGAAAACCAAGCCATCTAGTGATAGGAAGCACTCTCATAGAAGCAGCAGTAGCAGCCTTTCGGATCAGCGATATGTGAGGTATCTTTTTCATTTCACATACCACCGAATTTTCATGTCTTCATATAAATATTTTTCTTGATTCGGTGAATATTTTCTTTGATTTTCAGATTTCAAGCTCTTGCAAGAAGATCATGGCAAAGTGGTTTTACACTGGCATATTTAAGGGCTTTGGATATTCCAGTATCAAGTAGACGGGATTCATCCAATTGCGGAAGTAATTTCCAGGCAAAATCACCTTGGCGGCCACCGTCGCAATCTATTGCAGAAGCTTCTTGAGTGGGTAATATCTTGGCTAATAATTAGCTATAGATATTATATCTGTTTCCTCGCATCTAAATTGGTCTGTTTTTAATCAAAATAAACCGTCTAACTAGCTAGATACATGCTACATCTTTTTTCTCATTATTGAAAAGTAAACTGTGTAATGCCCTGTGTATATATGCTGACACTTATTTCATTCATAGATTATTCTATTTTGCTGATGATATTATATATATTTTGGAATTGGACATATTAGATTTATTTTGCCATTTCCTGTTTGACTGTCTGTGTTTTTTGTTGAGTTTTTTTGAAGTGTCAGATGGAAGTTGAATGGCATTTGGGGTTGAACCAGTGACCCTGTTCGCTGTTGCAAATGTCAAATTTAGCTATCACACTCTGTTAAGACTTTGGAATAACTATCCAGAATTTATCTTGCTTGGATCTTGGGTGACTCATCTATCTTAATGCTTGATTCATGATCCTGCATCTTTTATTCTTTTCACTCTTTAAAACTTATGAAAGATTCAACGTGTGAGGGGCTAGGGTAATGAAGTGCAAAAGTCTGGAGAGGTGTATGGACAATTTGTCCTTTCATACAAGTAAAAATTTGAATTTGAGAGGGACAATTGCTCCCCTTGGACCATGGGTTCACCCGTCTCAAACTCAAATGATGATTCTCTTGCTTCACTAATAGACATAGCACATAATTCTTATATATTTACGTGTTTTTAACCCCTCAATTCAAATGTACGATGCTCTAATATTTAACATCAAATTAAAACTCACTCTTACTAATTTTACTAATTTTAAGAAAGTGAAATATGATTTTTATGTATATATTTATGCCATCAAAATGTTATAAATATAGATATATGAATTGAATTAGAAGGATTGTATATTGTAAATAACATATAGAAAGGGATTTACCAAACAAATGAAGCTTGCTTAAATGTTTCCCTTTGTGCCGCTGGCTTCGCCACAGCCATTATTGGTGTGAAGGATATGTGGTCAAAGGTGAGTCTCAAGAGAAATATTTGGGTACGTATCATACACGTAACTCTACGTGCGTACTCTTTTAATCCCGTAATACCTCCATAATAACCTATGAATAACATCGAACTAGAACCAGTGAAAGTTATTCCATTATTGGTGTGAAGGATATGTGGTCGAAGGTGAGTCTCAAGAGAAACATTTGGGTACGTAACACACACGCAACTCTACGTGCGTACTCTTTTAACCCCATAATACCCCAATAATAACCTATGAATAACATCGAACTAGAACCAGTGAAAGTTATTGAAAGGTTATTAAGGATATAGGTTATTAGAATTAATACCGCAATAACCTCCCAATAACCCCCTAATAACCGTGAAGCGGAGGTTATTGCAGGATTATTACGCACGCAGCTTTACATGTGTGTTATGTACGCAAATATTTCCCGAGTCTCAAGGTATAAATTTATCTAGAAATACAAGATATGAATAATTTTATAAATAATACTAGGCATACAAAGTATGAATAAATTTACTAAATTACATTTTATAGTTACAACACTGACGCTCAGCAGATTTATTGAAATATGGCAGCTGATGGGAAAAACAAATTGCAACCAGACCTTAAGGAGGACCATTCAGTTTTATCTATCATATGTAATATACTATTAAAATAAAATTTAATTAATTATAACTTATTTAATGTCATATTTAGTAATAAATATATTATAATTTAATATTAATATGGATTATAATTTAATATAATTTTCTTCCAAATAATATAGTACTTTATATAAATAATATACATTAATTTAAGTACTAATTTAAACTTTATTCAATTATTTACTTGTTTAGATTTTTTTATAAAAAATTATTAATATTTTTATATAAAATAATATAAGCACCCCTTAAAATTTTTAGTTTATTTATTAACTCATTAAAATATGCATTTAATTAATATAAATAAATCCAAGACAAGTCAAATATGAACATAGATATGAAATATAACCAAGCCAATTTCAATCCATGGTATCTGGACTTGACTCAACTCAATTATCAAGCCTACTTACAAATTTACCATTTTACATGTACATTTTTTCTACAATGCAATGAGCATAGGGCCCATGTTAAAATGGGCATTTACATACACACCACACAATTCTCTCGTATTTACATAAATAACATCTAAACTTTCACTTTAACAGTGTAGTATTCAAATCTTTAACAATACATCAAATATATCACTACCATTGATTTTAAAAAGCGATATACATTTTATGCATATGTTTATGAGACCAAAGTGCTATAAATACAAGTATTAAAGTTTAGATATTAGATATATAAATATGAAAGAATTGTGTTGTGCATGTAAATTTCAGGAAAATTTATTCCGTGCGGACACCGCATCCGATCTCCACCATCCATCATGGGTTCGGTGGGATTTTTTTTGTTTTTTTTAATTTGAAAGTGGGTCCCACCAAACCAGTAATGAAGGGTGGAGAACGGACACCGGACACCACATGCAGAGATATGCGGTGTCCGCACAGAATAATTTTTCAAATTTCAGAGTCTAAACAAATGATCACCACAAAATGGTCTTCTCAACTTTTGTAAAATGTCTACAAAAAGAATCACCCTAAACAAATAGAAATATATGAAAGCAGTTTGCAAAGTAAAAAAATATATTAAAAAATTGTCCTAAATGCACAAAAATTTTCTGACTACAAAATTCTATGTAGTTGTGGTTGAGAACAAATTAACTAATTGATCTTCTGTTCAGCTGAAACGGTATCCCAATGTGCTCTCCAGACAATGGATGGTGTCAAAAGTCGCTCAACTTTCCATCCTGCAGAATGAAGCTGCATCCATCAAAAACCCATTCAGAAGATTAGCACCATTTTTTGTGAACTGTCTGCTTAAATTTCATTTAATGCGTTCAATAAAATCATTATTTCCTAACATAGAAATATATTATTTATACTTTGGACCGTATGCTCATCGCAACAACAACAACAACAACAAAGCCTTAATCCCACTACGAGAGGTCGGCTACCGTATGTTCACTGCGGTATAGAAAAATTGTAAATGTAAAATCGTAAATTTCTCGTATGCTCACTGCGGTATAGAAAAATTGTAAATGTAAAATATAGAAAAATTGTAAATGTAAAATCGTAAATTTCTAAAATATAATTGCATATAAATAACATAATTTTTTGAAAAAATTGAGCAGGAGAAAAGTGAAGCAACATAAAAAAACAAGATTTACATACACCCCACTTAATTTCTATGCTAAACTTCAATTTTTACACACATGCTATAGTTTTTTTTAAACAAGATGGACAGCAACATGTGTCTGTCCCATCCCATATGTTTTAATTTGACCCACATAGATTTGAACATGGGACAGCGGGGACTTTCGCCGAAGCTGCCAACCCACAAACGACCGGTTGCGCGCGTGCGCACACAGATATATATATATATATATATATATATATATAATAGTGGTGTTGAACCCTGCTTAATAGTTGATTTCTTGTGCTCAAATATAAATTGTCACATACCATTCAATTACCAAAAGATTCCCCTACACCGATTGTGTGCTTTTTGTATTGTGTTTTTTGTATAAACTGACTTTTTTTTCAACACATTAGCTCGCAACTGTAAACCTAGGAAATGAGAAAAGGGGTTTATTTGGGATAGTATTTTACTATTTTGCTTTTAAGACCACAATTATGCCTTGTCTAGCTATCCTTTCTCATTGTTTTCCGAAAATTTTTGTAATGAAAACTTGTTTTTATTCAATCAAATCTTCTAGAATGTGATAACTATAAAAGAATTATTATCTGACTTATTAAAAATCTATTCATAATATCCATAGCAGCTTTTAAGAGAACTATTTTCATATATGGGAATAGATGAAAGACAAGGTTACATTAAAGGAGATAACTCAGGGGCCAGTTGGGATCACTTATATTTTGTGTTTTCTATTTATTATTTTAATGTTTTGATCTGAACAAAACATATTTGGTATATTTGATTAAGATATGACTGTTTTTGACCATCAATCAAAACACCTAAAATTATTTTGAGTGTTATAAAAACATATTTATTTGTTTTTAAAACAAAAAAATATAAAAATATAAAAAACACAGCAAACAAATATATTTTTAAAACCAAAAGCAAAAACAAAAACAAAAGCATAAAATAAAATTAATCCCAAACAAGCTCTTAGAAAACAAATATGAAAGAGAGAAAAAATTTATCAAAATAGTCCCCCGACTCTTTGCAGAGGGTCAAATTAATCCCATAGTTTATAAAAGTGTCAATTTAGTCTCCATACTCTTCCAATATGGGCTAAAATAATCTTTTATGGGGACTATTCCGACTCCTATAAAAAAACTGCAGAGATTATGTTGACACTTTGAAAAACTTTTAGACTAAAGGCCCATCTAAATAGTTAGGGAACTATTTTGGCACTTTACTTGAAAGAGATTGCACTATGTTAGCGAATTTGTTTGAAGTAAATCCCTCAATTTTGAAAGGTGATTCGAATCTAAAAAGTGTTAGGAACAAAAGGTGGAACCTTTGCTATAAAATCATTGTAATGCTCATCCATCCAGAGTCGGCTCTCAGTGTGCACAGCCTTGCTTTGTGTGGTAAGACTCGCAAGGACAAGAGCATGAATGAAGGACTGCAAAATATCAGCTGGTGCCGCGATTTTATGGATTATAGCATGAACAACACCTTTCCTCTCCAACAGCAAATATTTAACTATAACATGTGGAATTCACAACTTAGACTCAGTAAAAGTTATTTTGAAAAAAAGGCATTTACATACATACCACTCAATTCTTATGCATTTACGTATCTAACACCTAAACTTTACCTTTTACATTTATACCACACAAATTTTTCATATCACATAAAATATACTTTAAAACTTTTAAAAGTGAAATACACCTTTTCATATATATAAAAACTGAAGTTTGGGTGCTAGATATGTAAATGCAAAGAAATTGAGTGGTATGTCGGTAAATCTTCCTTCGAAAATATATATACATAAAGTAGACCTTTTTTGTAATGAGAGAGATTTGATCCTGAAAGCTCCACCCTGCCACACATATTATCACAAGAAAACTTAATCCTCGTGAAACAATTACTTCATTATCATCTCAAGTAATCACTACATTCATTACAGAAGTTCAAAATCCGAATTTATGAACTCACATGTCACGATGATCAAGACCGGAGACTCTGACACCCAAGTATACACGCTGGTGTAGCGGAATACTATAGCTTGAACTCCATGGATTAGTCAAGGAAGGAAACACATGTTCAATCTTTGAAACCTGCTGCGGTGAAAGTACTGCCAACAGGAATGTGTGAGCCATTCTTTCTACATACATTAAACATGTTTCATGTGAAGCAACTTTGCATATGGAAAAGTCCTGATCAATTAAATTACTCATAAGAATTCTAATTGAGAAATCATACTTTCAATAACTAAAGGGATGTTTGGCTACACCAAAGAATTAAGTTGAAATAGGATTTAGTGAATCCTGTAAATATGAATTTATCAAATCCAGGCGTGTTAAATCCAAAAAGATGTTTGGCAGGATTTAAGTTAAATCCAATTAAATCCCTTCCTGATGTTTGGCCGCCTCCTGAGTGACGAGAGCAGCCTTTTCCCTTAAATCCATTGAATTCAGCTATCCATCAAATTAAAAAAAAAAAGGATTTACTTTACGGAAGACACAAAAATGGATTTAACTACCTTTTAGATTTAACTTAAATGTTTTATGCGTTTGGCAGGATTTATGATAAATGTAACGTAAATCCTGTTAGAAAGGGGCTACCAAACACCCCTAAGAGTTTTTAAAATGGAGTTTCATAGAAAACCTCCCAATATCCATTATAACTAAATTATTTAGAATAAAGAGTTTAATTTCATAAATTTATATTATTAAGTTAGCGAATCTCTTTTGAAAAACCTAGAATTATACGGTTAGCATACAGACAGAAAATTTCTGTGTAAGAAGCTGACAGAAAGAATAGTCCATTTGATTACCTTGACCATTCTTCATGAAATTGTGGAGCAATATGGAGCCTCTTTTGCTGTTTAACGTTGTTAATGAAAGGCACGTTACAGCCTTGTAATTTGCTGAAATAAAAGTTGTAAGCTGATAAGCACAAAAAAAAAAAGGCTACAGTTGCTCCAGAGAATCCAATAAACAAAATAGAAAAGAGATAATAAAAAACTGAGATTAAAAATCTTAAATATGGATTTCTAACAAAATAGTGAAATTTAGATATGCAGTTGCTTCTAAATTCTACACACAACTGATAGATGACACTGTGGACGGGCTTACGAGTCCTTGGTGTATCAGACAAGGGGGTAATATGGAAGAATAATGAATCTAAGGATAATTAAATAGGCTCCTTTGCTAACTCCTTATAATGGTATAAGCGTGCAAATCTTTTTGCTGGAGCCTACACTTAGGTTTAGTGCAAGTAGTGATTGGTCGATTATTAAGGTGATAATTATCGTTTAAGATTCCACACGAAAGCTTCTAAAAGACCCTAATAATTTCATTCTTACAATTAAAATACACTAAGCATTCAGCATGTAGCAACATGTTGAGAAAACTTTGAGCACAACATTACCATACAAGTATAATGCGGGACATATTAGGATCAGTTTTTTAATATTAATCGATTGTAAGATGCAAGAAATCATATTGAAAATCAATGCAAGTTATATATTGATAATTTTCTATTAGAAGAAAGATTTAGAAATCTGAAACATTTAGAATCATATAATTGAAAACCACACTACCCATGAAAGTCTAGATTGTATTAGATTTGAAAAAAAATCAACTATGCGCCCAAAATGATAAAAAAATTGGAGGGAAATAACTGAAACATAAGGTAAAAAGACATCAAATTCAGACAATGATTATATAAGAAGATGGACTCTCCTAAGAATCTTCAAACTCCTACTAAAGAGTTCGCTCCCAGTGATGTAAAAGAAAACATGGCAAAATAGAATGAAAATGAAGTCAAGATGATATAAAAACAGTTACCATGAAATTTAACGAAGAAATTAGCATCCTCTGGTGCATAATATGGGATGCTCTAACCATTCTCATGGCATGAAAAGAATATTTTCCCACGAAATGATAATATGAAACGATATGCTATAATGAAATGCCTTTATTGGCCAACTCCTTTATAGTACAACGTTCGAGCCACATATAGTCATATAGTGAAAAGTTAAACTCAGTGAGTAAATACCAGAGAGGCGCAGGTTTGCAGCTTGGCTAGTCTTTGGGATGTGGGTGATTTATTTGCATACCACCCAATTCTTATGTATTTACATATCCAACACCTTAAACATTTATGTTCACATGCATACCACTCAAATCGATAGCGTTAAATCAAAAATACCACCACCACGATTTTTTTAAAAGTGAAATACACTTTTTCAACCATAAATTTTTATGAAACCAAGGTATTATAAGTACAAATATCAAACTTTCGGTGTTAAATATGCAAATACATAAGAATTATGTGGTATGTAAATTTTCCCAAAAAAACCAATAAAAGGTGCAGAATCTGTAGCATAGGCGTCGAAAAATAAAAAACATGGCACCCCTTTACTCACCATACATATGAAAAAAGGTCAGGAAAAGGAATGAAATCCATACTGCCAAAGGATATCCTCTTGTAAGATGAGCAAGAAGCATTCCTAAGGTCATACCAATCATTGTTGCCAAAGTCTCTTGACTGCCTTCCTGAAAATATTCCAACAAAGGACATGAGCAGGTTGTAATGATAAAAAAAACAAAGAATTAAACAGAAGAAAACTGCAAAATCTTCATATTACCTTGGCAGAAATATCTGCTGCATTATTCTCAAGTGAGAAGTGCTGTGTCAGAGCAGCTCTCGTTGCACCACTTGCAACGCCGGCTAAAAGAACAAAGACAGAAATGTCAATCCACTTTTAGAAGGGAGTCAAACCTAAAGACCAACAAAAAAAGAAACAAAAATTAACAGATGGTTACAGATTAAAATCATCTATGAAACAACCAGGTGAGATCAAAATTGATATAATGAAAACATGAACATAGCTGAGCATTAGTAACAATTCCATAAAGACCCAACTATGCATTATACAGAATGCATACAGTACAATAAAGACAGCGTATAAAAGAAATAATTGCTTTGAAAAAACTTCCTTCATTTCATTAATAAATAGGGCATATATCGAGCCTTACAACGTTTTACAAATAAATTCCGAGACTTCCTCTATTTACAAATAGGACCATAAATTATATACAAATCTCAACACTCCCTTTTAAGATAGGCAAAATATAACCACTAGGCCCATCTTGTCACATAAACTAGACAAATCTAATGAGCTATGCCTTTTGGTGAGGCAGTCAGTCATTTGCTCTCCAGTTGTTGCATGACTTATCTCCAATAGTCCTTTATGCAACTTTTCCTTGATAAAGAACCTATCAGTCTCCACATGTTTGGTTCTATCATGTTGCACCGGATTTTTGGCAATGGTGATTGATGAATTGTTTTCGCACCACAACTTCATTTGAGCTCCTTAGTCCACCTTGAGCTCTATCAAAAGATTCTCAGCCATAACATCTCGGCAACTCCTAAGGCTATGACCTTGTACTCTGCCTCTGTCGTCAACCTCGCAATTACCGATTGCTTCTTGCTATTCCAAGGGAATAAATTGCCCCTAAGAACATGCAATATCCTGATGTTGACCTTCTGTCATCAGCACAGTTAGCTCAATCAGAATCACATTAGCCCTCAATGTCTAAATGCACATTTTTCCTAAATATTAAACTCTTCCCTAATGCGCTCTTCAGATACCTCGGAATTTGATACACTACAGCCATGCAGCCTTTCCTCGAATCATACATGTAGCAACTCTCCATGCTTACTGCAAATGATATGTCTGGATGAATGTAACTCAGATAGATGAGATGACCTACATAACTTTGGTACCTCTCACGATCAATTAGCACTCTTGCCTCTACGTTCAACTTTTCATTCTGATTAATTGGTGAAACTACGGGCTCGCATCCCAACATGCTCGTCTCTGTGAGCAAGTTTAGCACATAATTCCTTTGAAGTATCCTCTGCTCCAGGAGCCACCTCATTCCTAAGGAAGTATCTAAGCTATTCCAGGTCTTCACCTCAAACTCATTGTCCAAACTTGCCTTCAATTGAGCAATCTCTCCCTCATCATTACCACTGACAATCACATCATCCACATACACATCAAGAAAATGATACCATCACGTCATCGAAAAAACACTGCGTGGTCAGCATTGACCTTTTTGATTGCCCATATCTATCATTGCTCTCTTGAACCTGTCAAACCAAACTTGAAGAGACTTTCAAACCATATAATGACTTCCTCAGTATACATATCTTGGCCACTATTTGGTTTGTGTCGAAATCTGAGGGTATCTCCATGCACACCTCCTCTAGTAGATCTCACAAAGAAATTCTTTCTTCACATTCAATTGGTGTAACATTCATCTACTATTCATAGTCAAAGAGATAAGTGTCCTCACTGCACTCAACTTTATCACCGGTGCAAATGTTTTGTCATAGTCGATGTCATATGTCTAACTATACCAATTTGCCACAAATTGTGTTTTGCAGTGATCAATCTTTTCTTCTGAAGTCTTTCACTGTGAAGACCCATTTGCACCAACAACCTTTTTTCCTGCGTGTAGCAACGCAAGCTCTCATGTCATGTTCTTATCAAGAGCACCAAGTTCCTCCAGCATGACAACCTTCCACTTTGGATCCTCCTTAGCGACCTGCTAACACGTAAGTATAAAGACAGTATCCAAAGATGCAATGAATTCACTGTGTAAAAATGATATGTTATAGTATGAGATAAACTAGGCAATATCATATGAAAAACCAAAATGATCAAAAAAATAACGATCAGGAGGATGACCCACATTACCGTGAGAGGTCTTCCTTAAAGTCGTGCGATTGGGAGGAAAAATGAGAGGAATTGTATCACCTATACAATCGAATTCTGAGGTGGATGGTTTAGGTGTCTTAGAAGTATGGGTAGATGAGGACAATGGACTTGTTAGCACGAGTGGTATGGCAGACACTGTTGCCTCGTTCTGCTTCTTCCTTGTATACACCCTCAACTCCTCTTGAACTTGAACCTTATCACCTTCGGGCTCATTTTCTTCATTTTTCGGCTTTTCCTCAGTAAATCCGCCCCACACAATGGGACAAGTCATCATTTTAGCATGTATCATTCTCCTACCATCACTATTCTCCCCCTCTCGCCTTATACCTCCAATATCTGACGAGTCACCAAAGAGTGGTATCACCTCCAAAGTGTAGCATGATTCGAATTCTCTAAAAATCACATCCATACTCACAAGCAGTCTCTTCTCTCTTGGGCTCCCACAAACATACCCTTCTAAGTGACAAAATAACCCACGAAAATACACTTCATAGCTTTGGGATTCAGCTTTCCTATTGATGATCTAGTATCTTTCACAAAACATACATAATCAAATACCTTCAATGAGAGGGTCCACCATTATCTCTTTTCAACAACTCACAAGGAGATTTCTACGCCAACACACTTAATGGCATTATGTTGATCGATTGAGCGGCTGTCAAAACGGCTTGCCCCCACAAGTGTTATGGGACATTCATCGAGATCATCATGCTGCAGACTGTCTTTAAAAGGTGTCCTCTCTGCCACTCTATTTTGTGTCGGTGTGTATGGATATGTGATTTGATGTTGTATCAATTAGTCTAACAGGTACTCAACAAAATGTCTCATTATCAGGTCTCAATACCTTCACTACTGTAACATATTGAGTCTGAATCACCTTGTGAAATTCTTTAAAGAAGGCAAGTACATCTCTTTTATTTCTCATCAGATATAACTAAAACGAGAAAAATGATCAATGAAAGTCACAAAATATATGTAACCATTCATCAAAGTTATAGAACAAGGTCTCCATGCATCTGAATGCACCAAAACAAAAACAAAAGAACTCTTATTACCAGAACTAACATAATATCTCCTAATATGCTTATCAAACTCACAAACATCACACACAAATTTTTGTTTATTTATTTTTTCATACAAAGATGAATACAAAACGACTCAATAGACTAAACAAATAGTGTCTCACGCACTTGTGATGTAGCAACACATCCTCCACAATCCTCACAGATCCTCCTACTCTAGCACTTCTACCATGGATGTCAAGGCAGAGCCCATCCCATCTCTATCCAAGTACTAGAGTTCACTATGCCGCATGTCAGTCCTAAGTCTCCAGCCAATCCCCTTCTCTTAAAAGATCAAAGATCACCTTAAGAATATCGAATGAAACAACACATTTTAGTTGGAGTATAGTGACACTAATGGATAAAATGTTCACTCAAAAGGAATGAGCATGCAAACTATTGGATGTAGTCATAAAATCGGTACACCTCACTGTACTCTTACCAACAACAGACTTTGATGTACCATCAACGGTTTAAATGTTTTCTAAAACTACTAAGTGGGCATAGGAAGAGAACTCACGAATAGCATCTGTCATATGTCGAGATCCACGAGAATCTGCTATCCATTATGGTGACATTGTGGTGAATATAGAGAAAGCATGTGTATCATGAATAATTTTGGCTGAGTGAATATAAGTAGCGATATTTCTCTTGGATGACAATAAGGTGCATGTATCATCAGCCACATCACCTGTCGCTCTATGTTTCTTATTCAACATCTCAAGGAACTCATGATCCTCATCAATAAAGACCAATCCCATCTCACCCTCGTTATCTGCTACCACCAGATTTGCCTGTCACGATTACGACCATAGCCTCTAGACGTCCACGTCCACCCATCACTCGCTTGGGCAGCTTTGAACAAGCCTTGCTTTGTCCCACTTCTCCACAGTTGTAGCACCTGCACGTCTCCCCCTGAGCACCTGTCATACTTGAGCTTGAGGTAGCCAAAGCCGATCGCGTATTTAGAAGTCCGCTCGACAGCTCAAAGTGTAGCCTCATGCAACTCTCCACCTGTATCATCGCAATGATGACCTCATAAGTGAAGGAATCATTGCCTAGGCTAAGAGGACTGATCTCCTCTGATCAAATGTTCAGTTTAGTCAGAAACAACATAGTCCTCAACTGGATCACCACAGCTCGACTTAGGTGAGAAATGATTAAGATCCTTCTACAGTCATTCCAACTGTATGGAGTACTCCTGAATCGATCTATCACCATGTACCACTATCTCTATGTAACGCTAGATCTGGAACACCCTCATGTGGTTCTCAGTTCCAGCATAGGTCCTCTTCAACTTTGCCCATATGTCCTTTACCTTTCAAATGTCATCCACTAATAAGGCAATTAATGAAACCATCGAGTTGAGAAGTTGGGTGTAAAGTAAGGTGTGTGTGGTACTCCACTCATTCCCCTCAGACTGTCACGGTCACCATCTAGTTCAACCTTGATTCCTGTCAGAAATCTGTCTAGTTTCTTTTCTACCAGAGCAGCCTCAATCTGATGTGACCAACTCAGATACGTGGTCGGTCCATCAAGCTTCAGATCCATAGGAGGGAGATCTAGCTTCACGTGCATTGATTACGTTCTGAGGTGGTGGCTCCCGCTGAGACGTAGCTCCTTGTTATTGAAAGTGACGTTAATGCTCATAATGAATTTTTTCTGATATTCAAAGAATTTGTACTCAAATTCATCTGAGTCATGCCCAATCAAAGTGCACTTGATAAATTTTGAACAAAATTTACTCTTTAATCTTGCATCAATATGAACATATGATAAATAACCAAATACATTCAAATGAGATAGACTTATCTCTTTGCCACTTCAGACTTGTTTAGGTAAACTTTGATTTAAAGGTACTATTGGACCTTGATTGATTAGATAAATTGCAGTGTTCGCTATTTATGCCCAAAACTATTTTGGCAAGCCTACACGCAACCTCATGCTTCTGGCATGCTCTGTGATGATTCAATTCACGTGCTCCGCAACATCATTTTATTGTGGTGTTCTTAGAACAACACCTGATTCCCCTTGAAGCACAATAACTCCTAAACTTCTAATCACGATACTCACCACTATTATCTGATTTGAGATATTCATAAGTTTGTTTCATTCTCAATCACGACTTTCCACTTTTTAAACAACTCAAATACATCAATTTTATGTATTAAGAAGTATGCTCATATCTTCCTGGTGTGATCATCAATGAAAGTGACAAAATACTAAGAACCTCAAATGGATAAAACTGAAGTACAATCACATACATTTGTATGCACTAACTTCAACTTCTTCAATTTCATCTTTGACCACTTTTAAAGAAAGTAACATTTATTTGTTTGTCCTAAACAAAATATTAACAAAAATCTAGATCCATTGATTTTAAATCCTGAAGCTTATTTTTAGAAATGAGGGACATTTTTCACCCATATAGCCAAGTTTGCATTGTCATAGGCCTGCATTAGCTTTTGTTCCAATAATACCAATGGATTCAGACATCTCATCGATCAAACAAATGGCGAATTCAATATTGTCTTGAGCCATTACCATTACCCCTCTGGTCACCTTCCACGAATCACAAGTGAAAGTACTCACATACCCTGATCTTACAAGCTGGCTCACATAAATGAAATTTTTCTTCAAATTTAAAAGATGTCTAACTTCTTTGAGCTTCTAAACTAATCTAATTGAAAACATAATATCAATATCATCATTTCTAATAATATTGTGGGTCTTGTTATCTCCCAAATACACATTCTTTAGATCAGTTTGAGTATAGTTTTTGAACACTTCTCTGTTGGGGCGGGGCCAACATGAAAAGAGATATTTGAATCCAGTATCCATGATTCAATACTATCTAGGGGCAAAACAAGAAAGTCGGCTTGAATTTCTTCAGTGGAGACATTAGTAAAGAGCTTTCTATTCGGACCACCACCACCAACCTTTGGAGTTACGTAGTCCTTGAAGTGACTTTTCTTCTTGCAGTTCCAGCATTCACATTTGTCTTTTTCTCTCCCTGGCTTGGACGTTACTCCCTTGGACTTGAATATTTCTCTGCCTATGTTTTTATCCAGATCTATTGTTTTGATTTCAACATTCTGAATAGAATTTTATATTTCACTGCTCACATTCTTGTGAACTTCTTCATTCAATACTAACATCATAATATCATCAAATTTTAACTTCATGTTACCTGAAGAGTTATTTACCACAGTGACTAGTACATCCCAACTATCCTGCAATGAAGATAGGAGCAGTGCTTTAACCTCGTCATCGAACTTGATGCCTACAGAGCACAACTGATTAGTCATAGTGTTAGAAGTTATTCAAGTGCCAATCACATATTCAAAGTCGTAAGCTTCTCATACATCCTTGTTAGTGCAACCATGAGATCAGTCATAGCCTTCTCCTTCATAATGTTGAAAGCAACAAATGACAAAAGTGAAAGTTGGATCAAACCTAGTGTTGTTCAATCAAGCACTTCTTATTATTCCAAAGTCATCGATTCTAACTTCTTGGTGATTTCTTCCATTGACAAATACACTTTCTTTTGACACAATAAATCTTCAATATGCATTTTCTACAGTTGAACTTCTCCACCTTATACTTCGCTTTGTCAGTCATTGCTCCCACTCAAACTTGGATGCTCAGAAAACCCCATTTTGATAATACTTATGTAAGAAAATGAAAATTGTGGAAAAACCAATTCAAGAGATTTGAAAAAGAAAACTTATAACAAAAGCACACAAAATATGAAAAATATAGAAAAACACAAGAACACCAAGATTTAACATGTAAAAATCAGAGAACAAAAAAAAATTTGGGAGCCAAACACACCAAGAAATCCATTATGAAGAAATGAGGAGAAATGTACAGATTACACCGCAATCAAACTTCTCTATGCTCATGGACTCAAGAAAACACTTTGGGCATTTCACCTCTCTCTTTCAAGCATAAGAGATCATAAAATCCACATTACACACTCACAATTTGTCGAGAATTCCAAGATTGAAAGTCCCTAACTATTAGAAATATTTAATGCTACTAAAGTGCTAGTCCCGAGCATTGGGTTCCAGGTAGTGGGATCCCAAGAACAAACCGAGTGCGGCCGCACTCCTCCAGGTGTTGCATTTCCCTGCTCACTGTTCCCGAAGGCTTTGTTGGGTGCCTGCCCCTCTTCTCCACCATTAGGCCAGTGCTCAATTGCAAAATCAGGCTTCACCCATAACATCATGGGCACCTTGCTGAGGGTTAAGCATGGCTTCTCGTTCTTCCAACCAAATATTTGGCTAGCTCTAATACCCTATTACACCATCCTAGGGCTCCTAGAATGTGTGGTAAAGCACAAAAGATTTTCGAGAGGTTGTTGGATTAATATCGGGTGTGTGATGACGAAACGGGGTCATAAGAAGAAAAGTGTAGTTTCTTGCTGAAAATAACAGGTGACAGTGGCTTTGAAGGTTGTTTAACAGAAAATAGCGAGCAAAAGGCAAACCAGTGAGGTGGTAAGGACGTCAAAGGGGACACACTACTTTATTCTTAGGCAAGCTAATGACGCACCACTTTTGAAAGGAAGAGGTTACAACATTACAGAGAGCAAAATTCTCAGTTCATAAAATCAGAAAACTAAAAAACCAAAACCGTAATCCAGCATATATAAAAGACCCTTCAAAGCAAACACCTAATTAGAAACTAGGGAAATATGTAAGAACTAAAAATGAAGAAATAAAAAAATGAAACTTCCTAAAAAAAATAAAGGATAGAAAATAAAAAAGAAATATTAATAACATTTCCATAGGTTGGACTCCCACAATCAGGAGCCCAATACCGAGGAACAACGGTAATGCGCTGGTGTCAAGATAAAAAAGTTTTAGTCTATGATACCATGATAATAATTGGAGAGAACTGGTTGAGTATATCATTTCACGTTCGAGTATTCTTTATACATACTTCCAAGCATTTCTAGCATAAAACATATTAAAATTAAAGAATAATAATTACTAAACAACTATAATAGCCAACAGATGAATAAAATGGCAGAAGAATCATAACAGTCCAGAAATTTAAGAGTAGGCAATAAAAACTCTAATGAATTAATGCAGTGATAGCAGAAGAGGAAATAAATAAAGCAAAACTCTAGGTGAGTGTGGATCCTAGTTGACGAAAATAATGCATGTATTTCATAACAACCAATAATGCAAAAGCATTTAAAATTACATAAGTATAATATGTGCCACCCATAATCTAGTTGAGCTATTATGTGATGCAAACTAAACATAATTGATTAAATGAAGCAAATCATAACCCTGAGTTGACCCACATCACTTACCATCCATGGTTGACCCACTTGCCGCTAATTAAACAACACAAAATCCAAATTAAAAAGCCCTCCTGCCTCAATTTGTTTGGCAAAATGTTGATGATGTTAACACAACCCCAAAAACCATACAATAACAAACAATTACGCGCCAACAAATACACAACCATTGATCAACTGGATATTTTGACAACATTGACAAACTATAAATTGTATGTTTTGTGATAACCAAACCTCTTCAATAGAAAAGTTCAAGACTCTAGTGCCTATTAAAAACTGTCAAAAAATTTTGCATGCTTGTAACATTCCCAAATTAGCATACGTCATAAGGGGCCACAATTAATTATTTTAGGAACAAGAAATTAATTGTCAAAGCACATTCCATTCTACTTATGCTGCCCCAGCAATATCATCTAAAGCCATGAGAAGCTAAAGCATATTATATATACTTATCTTTCAATAATTACGCCCAACTATCGTTCAATGAATGAGATAACGGATAATAACTCACTAAATGATCTTGACAGGCTCCCCAAGCAGACTATTAGAATAAATGCAGATGGAAACAATGGAGAAATCAGATCCATCAGCATACCTGAAAAAAAAAAAAAACAAACAAATAAAAAAGACACACACACACACACAAACTCCGATATTCAAAACATGAAAGCAATTTTTTTAATGGCAATAACTTGGTAAGAAATCCAAGGGGGCTGACTTCATTTAACTTTGTACGGATTGAAGAAAAGTGAAAGATATGGAATTAAGTTCCCACTAATTTATGGAATATTATGAATTTACAACCATTTCTTAATTTTCCTCCACTCGAATTACTAGCACCCAAGCAAATCCTTTAAGTAAAAACTCCTCTGATAAGGATCTCATCAAAAGTGCAAATCATGCATCCTATGATACAAAATTTTGCTCATCGTTTAAACTTTATTTTGTAATTTTCTAATTCCTAGTTTGCAATTTAGTTTGAGCATTTATTTGATGATATCTATGAGAATATGTTTATTTAATTATGATATTCCTGGTCCAGGGATCTTTTTATTTGTTTAAGCGAATGCTTTGAGCATGGGTGGCTGCTGATTGCATGATGATTGGCTAAGTAATTGTATAGACTTATTCGACTTTAGAAATTGGGAGTAATGTTTATGGCTGGTAGTTCTTATGGTTGTAGCTTAAAAATCAGTTCCTCTATCTGCAATTGAACTGACTTGAGCTTGAGGGATACAAATATTTTTATTATTTGATCGGTTGTTCCCAAGGAATTTGTGGCTACAACTTTCAGAATAACTTAATGTGATCTTATTCCATCCAGATAATAGCATGTATTCAGTGGTAAGCTATCGGGTAGTATTTTTTTACTCTCCTTCAGTGTTTACATAGGGCATTTGGCGTTATCTGCAACATGTTATTGGCCCACTTCAGATGCAGCCAAGTTAAAAAGATCTAAGAATTATTATTAGAATTATGAGGCATGTAAAAAGAGATTTTTGGTTTAATTAAGTTTTCAAATTCCCTTCCAATCGTGTGTTGTGTGTGTGTGTGTGTTTGGTTGGATGTTTATTCTTCAAAACTGAAACAAATGCAATTACTAATTTATGGGGTAGGTTCTCTCCTTGAATAGGAGTAAGATCTGGCTTTTTGTGGTTTTTTGTCATCTTTCGAGTTATTTTTTTCTGAATATCTTGTCCTTGACTTTACAAGTGCCCCTGATTTTGGTTATATTCATCACAATTGGGCTTTTAATTGAGAGCGAATATTTATTCTCCTTGTTAACTTTTATGGTCTCAATTTTTTTACTTATTTCAATGAATTTATTAGATCTTTGTGTTATTCTTTCATCTAAATTTCTCATAATTTTGAGTTGACTTCCTCTATTGTTGTTAGCTTCATCACACATAGATTTTGTTTATCCTCAACTACTAGCAACAGATTATCATATCCAACATCACAATATTGAGCCTGTGTTATCATTGATGTCACTAATAAGCGAATATGGGATTTTCTATGATAACTATTATGATAACGATCATGACAAATTGTAAGATTTATTGCAACATCTAATATACTGCAGCCTTGCACATTCCATCTGCTGACGATTTTAAAGTTGTTCATGAAACCATTATTTTGCCATCTCCACCACGAAGACCAAACTTTCAAGAAGAGATGCTTTTATAAAACCAAAGAATTGATCCGAAGCAAAAGATAATTCTACATCATTTTAGTACTTCAGAAAATTTTAGGATGTATTTCAATGATTTCATCAAAATTAAGCTCTTTGAATTTGTTTTAATTAGAATTAATATTGATTATTCTTTTCCATAACTTTAAGTCTTAATTTTAAACTATTCCGTGATGGATTTAATTTTAAAATTGATTAGATTTGATTTTAAATTATCAATTCATATCTTTATAACCTTGTTCCAATAAATAGAGACTCATGGCTTGTATTGACATGGGACGTTCTCCTTGCCTGAACCGGATGCCTGCTGGGATTAGGGAGCTACACTGGTTCCGCTAGAAGGGAGAGAGGGTCGGCCGGCCCTAGAGCAATCAAGATTGCCCCCAATAGAAGTGCCCCCTCTAGTAATCTAGTAGTATTTATATGTTATTTTTTGTGTTTTTGGGCAGTTTTTTTTTATGTATTTTCTTTAGGGACAACTATCGGCATCTCAAATTCTCCCTGGGGCTGTATCCAAAGACGAGAAGGAGCTCCAACTATAACTCGTCCTAACGTGGTGTTTATCTATTGTTCCCAACATCCTACAAACCTCCCTCCGCTACCACCATCACGGTGTTTGCTGCATCGACCAGAACAAACAGCCCCTTCGTTGTTCTCCTGCAGCCACCTACCACCCAACCACCTCCCATCTTGATGTCATCCCTTCCAGCCACCTCCCCACCTTTCTGCCACCACCTTCCAACCGCCTTCCTTGCTGCCGTGAACCTACCCGACCCTTCCAACACTCTGCCAGCAACCTCCCCGCTGCAGCCACCTCACCATACCGTGCTTCCACCCACCTTTCAGACATCTGACAACCAACCGTGACCTTCTATTATTGCCTTCCGACCATCCAGGCCCCCATACTCTTTATTTCTCTGTAAACCGCAGTTACACTACCCTTGCTTAAGTCCTAGTTAGGTTTGTGTTGTAATTTTACTATTTCCTAGTTTTGAATGTCTTTGGTTGTAATCTTTATTTATATGATTTCAGTAATAAAAGTTACTTTTTCGTTGTTATTTGGGGTTGGCTCCTGTATCATGTATTCTGATGATACATACGTATTTGATATTAAAGATTACTATTATATTCTTTAATCGTTCTCCTCTCAGGTCCATCTATTTACTTCTCCCTCCTTCCTCCATTACCCTCGATGTGTATTAATATTGCAGGACACCGAACTAAACATCAGGTTTGGTAGATACACTACCAGATAATGAAGACCATCAAATTCATCCATTTAACAAAAATAAACTACTGCAGTTCAATTAGGACAACTATACCAAGATCATTCATAAAATCTGCGACCAAACGCCACATCTTAGCATTGCTATCGAGATTGGAACCCTGCAAAACATGACAATAAAAAATTAGTTATCAACACACGTGAAAGTGCATCTAGGTACTACATGTAATAAGCGCCAGGAAAGAGAGAGCATTTCTTGAAAGAATTACCCAGTATAAAGCACATCAAAAATGAGGGCCGCATAGTACCTGATAAAATGCAAATAAGATGCCTCCTAGCATGCCAGTAAAATCCCTCAAAAACCACTGTTAAAGGTTTTCCATGTAGATAGAAGATCGACAGGGTTACATGACAAAGGAAATAAAAAGATCAGATAACCAGTTAAATGCATGAACTAAAAGGTTCAGAAATTAACAAAAAATGTTTTTATAAAAAAGTGTAATGAGAAGAGAAAGCTAATACAGCTTTTTATTTTGCCCAGTAGTTAGAGGCAACATAGAATAATAACGCGGTCAAAATACAAGCATTGGAATGATAGGGCAAATAAATATTATAGGGAAATTTACATAAATACCACACAATTCCTTTGTATTTACATATCTAGCACCTAAAGTTTGATATTTACATTTCTAACACTTGGTGCTGAACCCGTGTATTAAAAGGTGTACTTCACTTTTAAAAAGTTAGTGAAAGTTCATATTTTTATGTAATATTAAAGATTAGAGTGCTAAGTATGTAAATATGAAAGTTTAGGTGTTAAATATGTAAAAACATAAGCATTGTGTGGTATGTATGTAAATGCCCCAATATTATATACGCAATGCTTCAGGCGGGTGAAAACAAACTATACCTGAAAGGTGGCCCCGATGACAGTGGCTGATTTTACGCCAACTCCAATAGCACTCAACAGTGCCTATTTCCAATTTGAAAATAATGCAATATTCAAAATAAGTTATAATATTCAGAGGAAAAACTAAGGGCCCATTGGGGCAGCTTATTTGATGTGGTAGCGTTTTAAAAATACACCTGACATGTTTGGGTAAACTGCGTTTTGACAACTTACACGTTTTCAAAACACTGAAAACTGCGTTTTCACACCGCACCTATCTAGGTGTGGTGACAACTTTCTGACAACGGTCTGATTTTTCCAAACAACGGTCTGATTTTTCCAAGAAATAAAAATTTGTAATAGTCATCGCACCTAGCTTATCAGCAGATTATTTTTAATCAGCTTATTAACAAATTATTCAATAAGCTGAAGCTACCCCAAACAAACCCTAAATTACATGGTCTAAACTTCTCTCAGGTGACCTTAGCAAAGAGGGTGTGCAACTTACTTGGGTGGAAAGCATGGACCGTATATAAGTTGAGAGTCCCTGTAGAGAAATACATTAGGTTTAGAGCAAGCATAGGCATGTACTGTTTACTTTAAAATAATTTCATGCAAGTCTTCTACCTGCAAGGAATCCCAAATTTGAAAAGGGACATAATCTGGAGTGACACTAGCTGGAAAGCCCTGCTAGAAGAAATTACTTATATTTTCAGTATGCGTGTATGGAGAAACTCAACATATGAAAGAAAAGGGTTAACTCGGCTCTATGGAGCCCCGAGAACGCTAGATCCAAGTAATACCACTCAAATGCTTAAAGGTTTCCTGCATAACACACTAATATCCCAGACCTAAAACACACATTCTAGTGTGTTAAAGAGAAGCCATGTGGTTGGACTATTTATCTTAGTTTACTGTTATTAATTTGTAAATGGAAAACTCAAAAAAAAATAATGGTCTCTCTCAGTCTGAGCCTAGACTATATGGTAAGCCAGTCACTGTTCCCTTTTGATTGTATGTTGCTTGCGTTCCTTAATTTGTAAACAGAGCCCTCAATTTCTCGCCCTCTTCATTTCCATCCCTTCTAGTAAGCTTAGAAAAGGTGAAAGGCAAGAACGAAAAAAAGGCATTAAAACAGAAGAGATTTGTGAATATGCGTGTGTGACTGTCATGCATGTTTCAATATGTGAAAGAGAGACATGTATCATACTACAATAGAGATTTAATTTTTTTGGTAGTTTTGTCAAAAATATTGACAAGTTGAAACTTCAAAGCAATTGTGAAATGACCACGCATGTCCAGTACGATATTATTAGTTCAAAGATCATCAATAAGTTTATATAGTTTTGTATTGATTATGAAGATGCTTATGAGAGAGATAAAAAGTGAGATATGTTGATTTATATTTTTCACATATATTACTTTACAAAATATTTGTTGAATAAGAGAAAATCCTAAGTAATGGAGAAATGGATAAACAAGATAAAAGAAAAATAAAAAACTTGGGATTAGTAGAGCAAAAATTGATTATATAATATACAACTTCGGTGAGTGTGATAGTAAAAATTGTTTATCAATATAACTAGAGGATAAAGTGATACCTACTTTTATAATTTTAGTTCTTTAGATCCATTTTGATAAAATATATATGTGGATAAAGATATAGCTTTCAATATTAAGAAATAAGAGAATAATTGAGGCTAGAACATGAATATCATAAAATTGCAATCAGATCAACTGAATTGCATGATTATATGTCTATGCAATAAAAAACAAGAGACAAGTTGATAGTGAAATAAAGAAGAAATATTCAGATGGCCGTGTGAAAAAAAATTAAGGATGAAAATTTATTCGCAAATTATTTCGGATGTAAGGGAGGAATAGCAAAAAATAAATTGAGGTAGTTCAGATATGTCGACAAAAGTTAACCAATAAGACGACGACTAAGACAATTTTTATCTCACTAAGTTAACCAATAAGACGACAACAACGAGAAGTTTTTATCCCACTAAGTGGGATCAACTACATGAATTATTTTTCTCCATTGTGTCCTATTGAGTGTCATATTTTCATTTAATTGTATCGGTGGAAGAGGTTCAAGGTTCGACAGTTGAACCAGGGTTGAACCGGAAAACTTCATAAATATAAAAAATATTAAATATAACTTAAATGAAATAAAAATTAGATGAAATTCAGTATGGAAGGTCAACAAGAGGGAAACATAACCAAGAAAATATAAATGCGTGAAAAAAAAAGTAATATACTAATAGTCATGCATATTTTACAAAAGATAAAGAAGAAAATGAAGTTGGGAATGATTAGAGCAAGATACATTCTTCATGGTATCAAAAGATTCAAACCACTCTTCATGATTTCCAAATAAAATTTTGGCATAAGATAAATGCTTAAACTTTGACTGGTTGATCGGCTCGACCTCCGGTTTCAGTTGATTGACCGGTTCGACCACCGGTTCCAG